GAATCGGCGCGACGATTATTTCGCAGTCTAAATGATTTTTTGTAAATGTTCTATTATTATTTCAGGAAAGAACACGACCTCATCTATGGATTCTCAAAATTTCAAATTTTTGTGCATGTTCGTCTAAGCACAGAAAATCGCCAAAGTTGCCTCTTGCAAAACGCCTGTTTCGTTGTGCCTAACCTCCCTGTTTTGAGAAGACGGGGCTCAACGCCTGGACCTGAGGGCCCTTTTGCAGTTCACATGCCCTCACTTCTTTTTGGGGTCCGCTTCTACCCGAGGACCGGTCCAATGCCCCCAACTTCTTTTTGGGGTTCACTTCCACCGGAGGACCGGTCCTTCGTTTTTCCAAAAGTCCCGGTGTCGGTGCGAATACCCTTACAAGGGTATCCACCCTGGTTTTTTTCAAGCGACAAAAAATAAGGTTAAAAGTTTAAGTTTTTGGCGTGAGGCGCTGCTGCGCTAGTGGTTTACGTTGGCTGGACGGTTTACTAGAATAGATAGTGTGTGGGCGCGCGGATTTTTGAGGCGCGCTTGATCTTCTTATTTGTTGATGACTGAAGAGTCGGCATGATCGCCAACCAGAATTTTATTTCTGATTAGATTAGGATTGAAAAGATTATATCTCGTTGATTAAGGAGCTTGCCAGTGACCTATGTATACGTGCGGAGGACGGCATCCACAATAGCATGGAAGTTCAAAACGTTTCAGTAGGTCTTCGCGTCGCACAATATTCATATATTTTAGGTGACCATAAAAGCTAAAACCAAGACTTGGGCCTAGCACTAGCAGTTGTGGCATCGGACTGTCAGCGAAGAGATTCAGGGATCGAGGTCGTGTGGCGACGACGCGGGAATATCAGAGTGGCACGAAGGTTCGGCGGGATTATCCCCCTTGGGTTTGCTGTTGGCGAAGTCGGAATGATGATTAGCGGTCCTTTTTTTCCACGTTCTTCATGTTCTGATGATTAAAAAAAAAAATCAAATACTTTATTATTTTATTTTATGCGTCGGTTTTTTTTCTTGGCTTAGGCGTGGCGCTGGTTCTTAGAGGATGTCACGATGGACAAAAACCTTGAACGCGGGCCTTCCCTGGTAGGCCTACGGTTTCCCGCATATTCGGGATGTTGGCGGGCTTCAACGGTTTTCAAAGTTTTTTTTAACTAAAATATTTGCGGCCGGCAGCAAAACCTGCACTGGGCCCATTCCGCCCAGGCCCATGCGTTTGCACTGCGGTGGAGGCCCGTGCTGGCTCACTATTTGGAGAGCCGGAGTGGCCACGGCGTGGATTGCCTTCGTCGGTAAAGTCTGGCTTCCGCGACCACTGGCATGTTGACTGTGTTAGACACCCGCGGGAGCGTCAGGGCTAACGCGCAGTCCACACTGACTGAAGCCGAGGGGGTAAGGAGGAGAACCTGGTAAGACTGATGGGCAAGTCGGCCTTCA